GGGGGGGGAGAGAAAAAACCCCTGCGACATGGGGCGTGGTTGACGAATGCCGAAAAAGGCACAGGAGAAGCCGAGGAGGAGGGAGGAGGGGACCCCGCAACAAAGGAAAATGCCGGCCCGGCCTCCTCTCCCCGCATCCACCCGCGCTCGCCTCTCTCTCCCTCTCTCTCGGTTCCCTGAGAGACCAAAGGTATTCGATTGATAAAAATGGAAAAGTGAAGGGGGGGGAGAGGAAAAGGGGAAATGAGAGTATATCTGATTCCGACAGCTTCATGTGGACTCGCTACGCCGGTGCCCAGCATACTCCGCCTGACGGGCGTCGCTCTTACCTCCAACAGGGCCAGTGCGGGAAGCACCGGGAAAATCCGCGGCCAGGGATGGACTGCCCCGGCCGGGACATTCGTTAGGGTGTGATGACTTACGCACGACGGTGACTTGCCGGCCGGAAGGCCATCACTTGAAGGGCAGGACCAGCCCCCGCAGCGGGGAGAAGCAATTTGGCCTCCTCAGAATATCACGCGGACAAGAGCACATTAACCGGCTCTTAACTCGACTCCGGGATGGGGTTGTGGGGTTTCTAGGTGTATTGGGGTGTTTGTTTTTTATGGGAAATTGCCCGTCGGGTTCCCCCCCCCCCCCCCCCCCCTGCCTCCCTCGCGCCCATTGGGAGGGACGGCGAAGGTGGCAGAATGCATCCTGTGGCGAGACCAAGCGGGCGAGTCCGCCCTGGGCGCCGGCCTTTGCACACTAATACGAGTAGTGCGAGGAGGTTGGCGCGCCGGCCGGCCCATAGACCACATGCTCCAGGGGACGGAACTTCTCGCCTACGGGCGTAAGGGGGATGGGTCAGAACACCGGGTGGTCGGTGGGCGGGGCACGGGGGCGTGGAGGAGCGAGATAGATAGAGAGATAGAGAGAAAGACAGAGGAAAGTAAACGCACGTCTCCCGGTGCCACCATCGGCCGTGTACTCCTGGTACCAAATCTCCAGCTGCTCTGCAACTGTAACAGGGATCCAGTACTCCTGTGTGTGTGTGAGTGTGTGTGAGGGGGGGGGGGAGGGGCGCAGTTGGAACATGGTCAGCCAGCCTGATTTTGAATGGAGGGGCGAGGAGGTGAAGGCAGCGGAGCACCACATGGCGCACCTGCTTCCGAGACTGGGGATGGGAGTTCTTCAACAAGTACTCGGTAATCTGAAGTTACACCAGAGAGAGAGAGAGAGGGGAAAAGAGAGAAAGCGAACGGTGAGCATCAGCCTCCAGCGGTCTTCGGTCTTCTCGCGGCCATTCGAGGCAAGCAGCAGGGAAGGGATCATAGATGGGGGGAGGGGGCCATTTCGACGCACATCGACCGCGGTGATATCCTGCTCGAAGGCCGCCTTGGCCGAGGCATACTCGATTTGGTATACAAGCAGGCCATCGAACGAGTGCTTGGGTGTGGCGAAGTGGGACAGCAAACTGGCCTGGAGAGGGGAGGCTACGGCGTGGTTGGCGGGACGTGTCAGCCAGAGTGCGTGCATGTAGGGCGGCCCGGGACCGCGCGACGAGGAGCGACACTGTTCGAGGACGCGGTCGGGTCGTACAGGTGAAGGCGTAGAGGCGGAAGTTGGATTCAACGATGATGAAGCCCTCGGCGTCGCCGGTCGCCTCGCTGGCATCCTCGCCCAGACCGGATCCAAGCAATGTCGATGCCAGCGGTGTGGGGAAGAAGTAGTTGTTGCAATAATCCTCATCCTCGCCCTGGGCCTGGGATGTTGAGCGGCATGGCGGTGAGTGCGCGCCTGTCAGGGAGGCAAGGGCATTGGGGAGCGATGGCGGGGAAGGTGCACGGGAGAGAGAGAGAGAGAGAGAGAGAGGGAGAGGCAGGGCGAGGAAAGAAGGAAAGAGACAGAGGGCCCAATCGAGGGGGCTGACGCACGACATAGTAGACCAGGCCCAGCTGATGGAGATCCGACAGGATGATATTCTGCGAGGTGGTCAGTTGGTCGCAGGAGTATATCTGCGCCAGGGAGGGGGGGAAGGTCGCGCGGGCTTGCTGTCAGTACATGGACCCACCGTGGCGAGAGGAGGCGCAGGAGGCGAAGAGGAGAGGATCAAAGGCGGAGGGGGGGGGGGGGGAACAAACAAACACGCACCCGGCCGACTGTCATATAGGCCAGCTGGACGAAGAGAGTCAGGACGTCCTCGAAGATGTGACCACATGGCTTCCGAGGGGTGGGGCGCGCGAGAGCGCAGAGGGAGTTAGTATCTGTCCTTGGAGAAGACCGGCAGCCGAGCAAAAGAGGCAGGGACACACCGGGGCCAGTTGAGTGTACTTGATCAGCAGCGTCCACAGCTGGCGGTTGCGATCCTGCAGAAGGAACTTGAATCCGCGCCGGGTGATGCGCAGGGAGCCGGTCGAGCTGCCGAGAGAAGGGGGGAGGGGGGAGGGGGCGAGAAAAGGTCAGTGCCATGCGCATGACGGGCACGGATGTGTCGCGAGCACACATGCAAGCGCAAGTGCCCAGGGGCGCGATGAGCCGGCAAGCCCGGCCGGTTGGCGTACTCTCGCTGGAGCAGTTGACACTTGTCCAGGAGCTCGCTGATGAGAGGCGGGGTCAGCTGGTCGTCAGCCTTCGGATCGGAGCCAGAGGTCCCGCCCTCGGTCCATTGCATGCCAGACATATAGCCGGACGCCTCGACCAGGTGTCGAAGGGCCACGGCCCAGCGGGAGCGCGCGTGCTGTGCCAATGTCCGCCGGGTAACCATGGCGAACAGGGGATGGATATCGGCCCGCTGACGCTCCTGCGCCTGGATGGCCGCGCGCTCGTGGTCCGACATGCCGGGCTCCACGACCGGCGGATCGTGCAGGGGAAGCAACGGCCCGGGACGGGCACTGATAAACCGAGCGCTGGATGGGAACCCCGTGCCAAAGGCGACAGCAGGGCGGGCGGTCAATTGGAGGCGGCAGGAGGGGGAGGGGGGGGGGGGGGGGGGGCGGGGGGAAGGCACAAGGAGATGGGCGAAGACAAAGGCCATGTGGATTGGGGAATGTGAACGCGCACGCTTCCTCATGGCCGCTCGGGCGGGCAGCCCCGGACAGATCTCCCCAGGTGGAGATCAGTTGCTGGCGGAAGTTGGCACGGACCGTGTACAGGCGGTCCGGCAGCTCCGGCTCAACGGGGGGGCGCATGTGAGAGTCCAATTCGGCATTCAGCCGGGCGGCCGTGGTGGCCGGATGGGTAATGAGCCGGGCCTTGCGCCGGAGGCGGTTTTGCAGCTTCTGCATCTGGTGAAAGAGCTCCGGGTGCTGGGACGCCAGTGGCAGCGGTGGATCTGCAATGATCACCGACAGTCGGACCAGACGTGCCAGCTCCTGGCGCACAGCCCTTGAGCCCGAGGCGGGGG